GTACCAAAGGAAGATGAGGAAGCCTGCAGAAACAGGAGGAGGCCACGGAGGTTAAGCAGTCCCTGGGAGGAATTGGGATGCAGGGATGGAAGTACAGTGTAATGGGTAGTAGGAATAACCTTGAGGAACAGGAGGAAAAGTGCAGCCAAGACAATGGTCAGATAAAAGAAATCTGAGTCTGGGGCCGAAATGTAAATTGAGAAAGGGTCCCAGGCAGGACCCTCCCTAGTTCTCATGAAGGTAAAGGGAGGGAGGGGGAAGTATAATCAGACTTGCAAGTTTCTGTTACTGTAACCTTATATTAAAAGTAGCATTAGCACTCATAACTTTGGTTTCCTAGTCTGAAGGGCTGACATGCAGTGAGGCTGAGGGCTTTTCATCATCACGCCTCTCTGCTGCTGATGGTCAATGGTGCGGAAGACTGAAATTCAGAAGTCAAGCACATTCTTTGTATTGCTGGCAACTTCATCATATAGAGCCAAGAAGAACCTGGGTTTGAAACCTAGCTGAAAAATTGCTTGTCCAGGAGTGGTTAACTTTTCTACCAAGGACCACATTTCCTCTCTCTATGGTTTCAGCGTGGACAAATTTGAAGCATGCCACGAGTGGACCTTGAGCAAAAAGTGAGTGGAGACTCCTGTCCTATTTCTGACACCCCCTTCTCTCATCTTTTATCTTCGTTATCTTTTCAGCTCTCCTGCAGCACAGGAAGAAGGAGCAGAGTGCTTCTCTCAATAGCTATCAGCCTTGCCAGGTGGACCAGACAGGAAGCACAACCCAATGAGCTAATTCTTCTTTATTGTAATGTTACATTAACAGAATCTTGCAAGTCTGAAAGTACAATTCTCCCCCCACCCCGTCTCCTTTACAGCCCTAGAAACTAGGGAAGGTCCCTTCTGAGCCTCTTGTCCCACCCACTATGCAGCTGTGGTCCATGCCCTCTCTTATCTGACCATTCCCTAGGCAGTATCTCTTTGTCCCATCTCCCAAGTTGTTTCCCACATACCATTAATCGCTGAGGCTCTCCTGCCAAGAGCTGAGGACTTCATGTGACCCATCTCTGCAAAAGATAACCTTGAGACTGGGTCAGACTTGTTCTAAGGTCAGTTAGAGCAAAGCCATGTTTCTAGAGAGTTTCTGTTCTTCCTTGTGCAGCTTCCTGTTCAGGGAAACTGACAAGGAAACATCAGTCTAACTTCAGACTTTACTCAACGAAGCAACAGGGCACTTCCACATGACCTGTTCACACCTTCTGATTCTGATCCATTTTTTTCTGCACTTTTCTTCACTTTCTTGCAAGTCTTTCCACTTGCCCATGCAAGGCAAGGTGGGGGGACACTAACCCGAGTTTATTAACAACAGACTGGCCATTAGCAAAGTGCCATCGGTCTGGTTTCTAAAGAGGGCGGCTGCCTTGAAAGGGAAGTTCCCCATTCACAGAAACAAGGGCGATGTAGTGAGGGTCTTCTGCCGTTCCAAGGCTCTGGTCATGACGTTATTTGATTGCCAAGGGCGTCATCTCACACCACAAGAATTGCACCTTTGCCTAGGAACCTCCTAGGAGAGACTGCTGGTGATTGGACAGTTGTAAAACTAGACAGGTACAAAGCCTTTGCTTCAGTGGCTCAGCCCAACCTGACTGCTACAGGTTGTGTTTCATTGTCCATTCCAGTATGAGCATAAGGATTTCTCACTTGGTTTCTGATATCCAGACAGGACAGGACATGGTGGGGTCCCTCTTTTTAGGCATTTTCCTGACAGCAACATAGCCGTCAGATGAGCCTCTTCAGGGAGAAGGTTTCCTAACTATGAAGGCAACATTAAATGGTCCTGTCTCTTGCTACCAAGCATCTAATCTCATAAAGCAGGGCCTACTACTAGCATCGATGTATACTGGCCCACCTTGAATAATATCTTTAAAAAATCTTCCCTGAAAATAATTCAACCCAGCTTCAGTCCTTTTAAAACAAAATCTGCAGAGCTTTGAGAGCTGGAATGTGCTGCTCTTTTCCAGAAGCAAAACTCCTTCCCTCAAGGATGTAATTGCATAAATATTGGGGATGCTGTGGATATCAACTCTTACTATAACAACGCAGCCTCCTTCATGGAACGAAGCATCTAATGTTTGCTTGGATGTGAAATGCCTAAGCTGGCCATTAAAAAATAAGGGGAAAAAACCCTGAGGGCAGAGATTGGACGTGCAGTCTTAGATGTATGAATCCAAATTGTAAGCTGCCCAGAGTCACCCTCTGGGGGAGATGGGTGGCATATGAATTTAATAATAAATAAATAAATAAATAAATAAATAAATGTCCATTTATCCACCAGCTGGAAGATCAACTCGCCTGCAGATTAGATTATGCTGAAAAGATGCATCTTAGGTTAGCAGTGACCTCCATGTCACATACCATGCAAGTTCAGGGGACCCCACAGGTAGGAGAAGGAAAGCAGCCGCACCCACTGACCTTGAAGGGAGTTGATGATGGTGAAAAGGTAGACTGCTACCAACTTGAACGTCCCGGAAGCGAACGCAAAGAAGACCAGTCCCCATGGGATGCCCAGGACACAGCTGAGCCCCAGAAGCATCACCGCATATTCCCAGTGATGCTCTCGATGTCTCAGCTTGAGAATCTCATACACCATTGTGGCCAGCATGATGCTGTTGAAGAACAGCACCAAGCTTAAATAGCCCAAATTCAGGAAATTGTTGATCTCTTTTTTTGTAATCCAACAGCTGGAGAAGAAGAGAAAAAAACAGAAATGTGAGCCTGTGCACTAGTTAACCAGGTGGAAGGCACACAAAAACTGGAATATGAACCCTCAAATAGGCTGAGAAGTTTTCTTTAAACTGACCCCTCCCCAAAAGACAGGACTGTCCAGGACACTCATGTATGTGGTGCATCACACCCTCCCTGTGGTCCAAGCTCATCCCGTATGTTGGATCTCAGCATCTGCTACCCAGAGGTTGGCAGCTGGTAATCCTCAAGGAGAAATGCATCTTTCTGAATGGACAGTGGGGGGCGCTCCTGTCCTACCCCCAAGAACTTACATGGTTGCGTTGGTATATTTATCAGGAGACTCGTAGACCTTAAAAGAGGAAGGGCCGTAGTGCGAATGATTGATCACAAAAATTAGACACACCATGAATATGGGAAGACCTGCAAGAGGAGAACAGCCTGAGTAAATGCTTCTGCAACACTTCTTCCCCATATTGCTCGCCCAGAAAGTTTTACATTTTCCATTTATTTAAAATATTTCTATACTGTCCAGTATATATTTTCCTCCTAGGCTGTTCAAAAGTGAAACATCCAAATGAAGAAATATCAGATGAAAAGGGAAACAGGAATCTGTAACTAAATTAAAAGAGCAAAGTGAAATTTGCAAGAGAATCTGAGAATAATGGAGGACACTGAAGGAGGAGAGCCATATTATTCTAGCAAAAAATCTAGAGTGATAGCAGCTTTTCTGATGAACAAATTTGATTAAAAAGGCATTTTATTAAAAGAAATTAATAAAATAATGCCTTTGAATCAAATTTGTTCGTCAAAAAAGTGCTTTTCCTTCTAACAATAATGGAACAGACTGAAAAGACATGATTTTTTTTTTTAAAGAATGTTAAGTCCAAGAAAATAAATGCCTAACAGATTCCAAAGTGGGGAATGTCTTGAGGTCTTTCCACGAGCAGAAAGACAATGAAATGCCATTCTAACCCTTGGCTCGGTTTTTGAGAGCATTGCTAGCAAACGTTCCCAGATGCTTCGGATTTTGCCCACAAATGAAATGACAACAGCTCCAAATGGGGAGAAATTCACTCCCTTCTTAACAGAATGCAGACACACTGAATGTCATGTTTTCAAACCAATACGTGAACTGAAATGCAGTTATCATTCCAAATTTGTAGTTCTCCAAATTTTGCAATCCCAGTAGCCAATTAAAGGCGGATATACTGTACAGGAAAGTTTGCACAAGAGCCTTCTCTGCCGTGGCCCCTGCCTTGTGGAATCTTCTCCCCCCGGAAGTGAGGTTAGCCCCGTCCCTCTTAGCATTCCGCAAGTCCCTCAAGACCTGGCCCTGGGATCGGGCCTGGGGCTCCCAGGGGACTGGGGAGATTTTGCAATGGCTCCCTTACTACGGTTAACATCATCCTCTCCTGTTGTGTGCGTTTTTATGGTTTTTATAGTTTTAACGATTGTCTTATATGTATTTATGGGCTTTTTAATTGAGTGTTGTATGCCGCCCAGAGTTTACTTTTAAAATCTTTATATCAAAAATAATGGTTTGCAAAAAAAAAAAAAAGTATAGTCATTAAACAACGTTGTAAATAAAGCAGATGTACACTAATAATATTGGCAAGTAAAGCTTTAGAGAGAATTTGACAATGGTAGCAAGTTGTTGAACTTGGCTGATCTTGAAAAAAATTAAACTGAGTTGGCTGAGTTAATACTTGGTTAGGAGATCATCGGGGAATCCCAGACCTGCAGGCTAGACTGGGAAGTTGGAGTAGCATGTTTTTATTTTATTTTTTTAATGTATAACTCTTTTTTTTTAACAAGACAATATTTAATCTTAAAGAAAAATATTTTTTAAAAAAATTAAAAGTACAAACTGAAAATATAAACTAAGAAGGAAAGAAAAAGAAAAAATCTCTCTTATATTTTATACTTATCAATAGTCACTGGTTTACCAATGAATTCACTACTATCATAAGAGCAATGCAAGATGTTACTGCAAGATCTCACGGAATCTCTGCCATAGTAACACATATTGCTGCATCCTTTGATTAGTAGAAAATATTGCCTTTTCCAAAACAGATTAATCACACATTTCCGACAACCATTCCTTGATATCACTTTTCCAATTTCTTAATATAACTCTTTTATCCCCCTGTGCTTAATACAACCGTGCTTCCTGATGAACAAATTCCAAAGCTCTGGTACATAATTCAACATTACATTAACACCTTTAACATTTAAAGGTTTTTCTATAAATCTGCTAATATACATTAATACATTATACTAAAAAGATACTAAATGATCACATGATCATATCATATGGGTCAGTGAGCCCTCAATTTTTTTACATTAAAAAGAAAAAAAACCTTTTAAGTTGAAAAAACATCTTAGACAAAACTAATGGCAGTTTCTGTATTGTTGCCAAGAAAATGGAATGAATCAATTAATATCCATTAATCATCAGGAGTCCATTCAACCCAAGACCATCTTTACCTTTAAAAAAAAACCTTTCAAATTAATGAACTGAATGTGACAGATTGATAAAAGTGAGGAACAGAGAAATCCAAACTTCCAAATTTGCCCAGGGCTATCTCCAATACCTTCATGCTTAGAAATTAATGTTGCATTAGGGAAAAGCAGCAAAAAAACTTTCTGCAAATTAAAAAACTAAAATAACATAAAACAACCTTTTTCTACCTGTGTTTTCCATCTGCTTTCCTAGTGTGGTTTTCTATTTTCAGGGAGTTTTTCTTATTTTTTCAAATAAAGGAAAAAAGATAAGTTATCTTTAGTCTGAAATGATATGGGCCTTTCTATCCCAGGATTTTGCCTCCTCGTTCTGTCTCTGTTGCTTTTATTTCTATTTACAGGCAAAGATTTTTCTTTTTTCTTTTTCCTAAGCAAGGGAAAGCAATCAAATATGATACCCTCCTTTTGCAGACTGATGTGGTACGGTCCTTTCTTCCACCTTGTTCTTCTGTGTCTACAGACCAAGTGTTGGCTATGAGAAACCAGCACTTCCTGAGTTCACAGCAGAAGCAAGACTGAACTGAGGCTTTGCATCAATCCTTCAGAGCAGTGCCCACCTTCTTCCTCTCACTGTCTGCTTCTTTTACTAAAGAGCTGGTCATAACCTCTGAGGTTCTGGCATACTAGAGATTTGTTCTCCAACGCTTCTGCCACTCACCCCAGCCCACCAGGCAGAGCTTGAACAGGAAGTGTTTGACATAGGAATTGAAGACTTCGATCACCAGCCGGTAGAGACTGTAGCCCTCAATGGCCATCCAGGTCAAGCACGCAAGCACGCCAAAGTGCAGGAACATGCCACCAGCTTTGCAAGCCATGTCACCTCCGGTAGGAGCCAGGGGAACTGCGATGAGGAAGCTCATGTCAAGGAGAAAGATGGCCCAGAGGAGATTCATGTGCACATAGACAATGTGGTCTCTCTGCTTTTTCCTGTGAAGAAGAAAGAGCATCATACTTCACTTCTCTCTTTGCGTGAGGCTCCAAGCTGCAGTCATGAAAAGTCCCAGAACCCTGCTGCAGGAAAGGTTTTGATCCCCTGCACCTTATTCCTTAGTTATGTAACCTGCACCTTCCAGATGTTCTGCATGCAGTTCTCACAGTCCACTGCTGTTGGCTGTGCTGGTTGGGGCTCATGGACACTGAAGTCCAAAAGACTGGACAGCAACAGGTTACCAACCTCTACCCTCTCAGAAAACATATATCCTTCAAATGCACACAAACTCCCACCCACCACAGACTGCTGTCCATGACGTCCCCTTCCCGCTGATATGCCAAATGAATATCCCACTCAACACAACCTACTTTGAACAAAGGAAAAAGAAGATGGTGAAGAACGAAGCTAGAGCTGAAATGATGCAACCAACATAAGTGACAATAGTCAGGTATTCATAGTGGATATGGTCTATATCTGGAGAGGACACCTGTGGAACAAAGGAAGGAAATTGTTTAGAAAGTGTAAGAGGTAAGAAAAGAACAGGGAGATTTTTCAATGCCTAAAGATGAGCTCAGGACCCAGGTCGTCCAGAGTGTGTGGAATTACAACTCAATCAGTGACCAAGTTCCTTGCGATTGTGAGGAGTTGTAGTTCTGCAACATCTGGGAGGGGCACCTTTTTTTCAACATGCTCTGCAGGATGCTGATACTCACCATGAGCACAGCAAAGAAGGTGAGATGGTCACAAAGGCAGGTTGTTTGATATTCTTCTTGTACAGCTTCACAGCCTGATGTATTCCACTTGCCAGGGTGGCCGGCTAAGATCAAAAGGAGTATTCATTTTACAAATGATTATCTCGAAGGATGAAATAGAGAAACCCACAAACCACAGAGTAATAGCAAGGGGGGAAACAGAAATTTTAAGGCTTATTTTAATTAAAATTTTAATCTTGTGACGCTATCTCAGGCCAATATAAGAAGGTAAAATTTAGACCCAGAAGAATGGGCATAAATGGCCTTTGGAAATGTTGCGCTAAACTTGGGCCAGAGAAACCCAGTTTCTCCAGAAGAAGAAATTCCTCAGCTGTTTCTCAAGGGCAGGACTTCTCTTTAGTGGTGAAGTAGGACCCATCTTGGAAAATACATCCAGAGAGGAGTTCCCTTCTGGTGCCTGCCTTAGCCTTTAGTGGTTCTAGACTGCCAGCAGGAGGATGGTCCAAAGAAAGAAAGAAGGGCCACTTGTCCACACTCTCTCCATGTCCCACCTCCACAAGTGAAATAACACCTAAAAGAAGTTCTCTGGAATATCTAAAATGAATTTTCTTTCATCAGAACAAGGAGAAAGGACAGGAGGTGTTGCCCATCTATGATGGTGAACCACTTGATCCTTGATTTCCTATGGAACTGTTATCCTACTTCTAGGATAGAAGTAGGATAGACTGGGTTCTCACAACATGCTTAACCAGGTATCAACCAAAGCTCTAACAGCTGTATTTGCACAACATGCAAAGTTTGGTTCATTTTAACTTGTATTAAGTTTTTTTGGTGTCTTGGTGTCTTGGATGAACCTATACTACTGAGTTAGTTTATGGTTCCATGTATAGTTTTAGATGCTTGTTAACGGGACTGCTGTAAACATAAGTAATGAAATACAAAATTTTGTCTCAGTCTTAAATATGTCTCGAACTCCTCTATACAGCTGACCCAAAATTACAACTTAGCCAAAGAAGAAAAATCCCTCTCAAAACAGCAAAATGCATTAGAGTAGAGGCTCCCTGTTGGATATCTGCCTGAGTCACCGTCCTTGACTTGTGCTTTCATATCCAGAACCATGACACACACAGGGCTGGACTGCTCTGGAGCACCTGTGACCCACTGGGAAATGACAGTTACCAGGAATAAAGGAATAGGAATAACCACTACACCAAACTGGCTGCATTTTTCACAAATGAACAAGTGCAGAAATCGCTGAAGGAGAAGCCCAGAGCTTCCTTCCAAATCTTCACCTTCGCACCCCGAACTTCCTTGGACACTTACCCTTGGAGCCCATATCCCAGAACACACACGCGGGAGTCAAATTCCTCTGAAATCAAACCAAAATTCAAAGAGTGAATACAGCACATGGCCTTCTTAAAGAAAAAGAAATCCACAGGGAAATGTGATTATTTGTCCCTTTTTCTCTCGGGGGCCCTATTTGTCTAAAATAATTGTTCGGTTCCCTTTGAAAGCTATCTTACAATGACAACTCTGGGTGGTTTACAATGTTTAAAAACAATACAGTAACACAATATAAAACACAAACAGCAGCCAAGGAGCCAAACCAGTCCACACAAATAATATCCACATCACCGTCTCTAACTAACATTCAACCGCCATGGCTAGCAACGCCCCCCCATCTTAAGAGTCTTCCAAGAAGCCACTCAAATTCTTTTTGCGTGCAGATGAAAAATCCCATAATACCTTATTCTTTCCTTCTCCAAGAAAGTATAATACTAAATTTAAATTTATGATGAATATCCTTTATGATTCTCAAAGTCATAATCAACCCTGTGCTACTTCACTCTCCCTCCTCATACCATCTGCCCAATTTACCCACTACCCCAAACCTCTGTGCAAGCTTGGGAGTTCCAGCCCCCTTTTCAACCTGCTGCTTTTAAAGCAGAATTATCTTTTTTAATCTTCAGAGATGACAGCAGTGGAACAAAAGATTGAAAGAAATCAAAGCGCATGGAGAGAAGGTTATTTCTGATTGCAAAGCAAAAATCTATATTTCTCTGTCTCAGCTCAGCAGTTGATTGCTGCTTAGAAAAACCTTCCCCTTGTAACCACACATTTGCATGCTATTTCTCTAGGAGTGATACATTTTTTATTCTGAGCTGTATTTGTATAAATATACAAAGGAACCAGTTTTCCAAGGGTTCAGTGAATTTAATGAAGAGTCTTTCGATTTACATTGTGTCCTGAACAAGTCTTAGAATAAAAAAGTATTTAGTCAGCCACCAATTGTGCAAGTTCTCCCACTTAAAAAGATGAGAGAGGCCTGTAATTTTCATCATAGGTATACCTCAACTATGAGAGACAAAATGGGGAAAAAAAATCCAGAAAATCACATTGTCTGATTTTTAAAGAATTTATTTGCAAATCATGCTGGAAAATAAGTATTTGGTCAATATCAAAAGTTCATCTCAATAC